AAATACATACATACATATATATATATATATATATATATATATATATATATATATATATATATATATATTTGTTAAATTAATTAACTTTATTACAACAATAACACTTTATTCATGATCTTTAAAAAACTAAATTTCTATAATCAGTGCCAGAAGAGGATGCATTAACATAGAAACGTACCTGATAAATTCGATTAAGTTCAACAGTATATATACATGTTGAACTCGATCGAATTTACAATATATATTTAATGATTTATTTTACAATATATATTTATTTTCGTTTCTTTTTCAAGTAATTAGTTTCTTATTTTTCATACTCAAGATCGTGAATTAAATTTCCAAGAGTCGAATTTAAAAGTTTTTTATTTTTCCTACGTTTCTACGTTAGTGCATAATCTTATTTATATTTAGTAACGTAGAAAACCACAAGGTACCAACTTGACAGCATTAACTCTCACTCCGTGAGGTGCCAGTTCTGGGAAAATGTATTATAGCATGTGAATTATTTCAAGCTGTCCCATGCAAAACTCCGTGCATTCGTTTAAAACAATTTTTACCAATAAAACATTCGTAAAACGATATTTAATGTAAAAAATTGACTACAACATTTTAAAATTTGAACAATCATACGAATCTTGACAACCAACAGCCTTCAAAGCCACTGATAACGTCATCGTAATCATCACCAATACCCCAACCCCATCATAATCATCGTCATCGTCACTACCCACCAAGAGCAGTACAGCTGGTCAACTGATCCAAAGCACTTTTTGAAACACAATAAGCAAGAACTCCTGGAAACTGATGGAGAATTATGAAAATGAAGTTAGGTTGAAACAATAAATCGAGCGTCATCCATGGTGTGGTGGTAGAATGATGGGTGGCCGTTGAAGCTTACAATTCCAATTTTGGATGATGCTAATAAACTATAAGAACCCATTAAATCATTCAAATGAATGGTTTTATTAGCACATTTTAAAATTGCTGAATTAAGTTTAGAGAAAAATTAAAATGACGGTTGATTCTTCAAACTACTAACATACACAAGTTTCAGACGGTGTTTGAACAATCACATGATATTTAATATTAATATTTAATATAATAAAATAGATGAATGAACATTTAATTTAACAAAAAAAAAACAAACAGGTTAAGTTTTAATAATTTTAGTTTGAAAAAAAAACAAAAACATTAAATCAACATTTGAAATAACAAAGATAAAATGTTTAAAAGTTAGATGGAAATAATTTTGAAAAGATCTGACCGATCTCGTGCCACAGACACTAGAAACGTTGACAATATTGCCCTTCACCTTTTTCAGATGTGGCACACACAACATGGTCAGGTGGTAGATGGCTCTTTAAAAGACAGATGATGTTCAATCGTGATGGTGACTTATTGAATAATGATATAAAATTCACTTGACAACATTTGTACTAAGGATCTAATGAAAATATAGACAATGAAATTGGAGTGTGCAAGAAAGATGTCTGTACTAACAAAATAGTTCTAGCTAGATAATAAAAAATCATTTAAATATTCATTATTCTTAGTTTTAATGCTAACACCAGTTTCCTAAAATCCAGATAAACTAAAAATGAATTTTGAAAAGTTGTTAAGAGCAACTGAAAAGAAAGAAAAATTGTTACAATGATTTATAATATGCGGCATAATACAGACAGACCTTACGTTAACATTCATCACATTGTCATATTGCAGAAGTGTCGTTGTCTCGATGGATCCCATCTCCAAAACACCAGCACTATTCACCTTTGTTGGTTTAAGATGGTTGAAGAAATCTCTTAAACCAATGAAACCTCAAGAAAAAATAAAACTTACCAAGATGTCGAGTTTTTTGAAATTTCCTATAACAGTTTCCACCATGTTCTTGCAGTCTTTTTCATTCGTTACATCTCCTGGTATCATTAGTGGCTGGCAAATGGAAGAATGAATCATATGAACTTTAACTTTTTGATGCCATTAATAAATCATTTATATTGCCTTATACTAGTTAAGGTAGAACCTTTACATTGTACATTGTTACTTTTGTGACATATGGAAACGATGATTTATAGCTATTTTGTAATTTTTATTGATTAAAACTCCTTCTTCCATGCACCCTGGTGTTGTATTCAAAATATTGGATTCTAAAAAAATATGAAGCAGTGAATGATGACTCTGTTTGTGTTACTATCACCTAATTTTTATAATTTAATCAGCTAATTTTTGTATCATAAAATCTATGTTGTACATCCAAACAAAGAACGCATGTGTACATTTGTGTGCAAGCCTATTACACAAACAGCCAATAATCTAAAAATTTAAATCTGGTTAATGCATTTGTATCACAGTTGAAACTAGTTAAATAATAGTTGAGAAAAGAAGAAATATATGCAGCACCAACTTCAACACCCTTACAATGAACAATGCATTTTTCTTTTGTGGATTGAAGATTTTTTTCATTTCTACCCACAATTGCTATGGATGCTCCAAGTTTAGAAAACAAAATGGCTGTCTCTGCTCCAATGCCACTTCCAGCACCTGAAAATTTTCAAACTGTTTTAAAGTTACTAGCTTTGGATTGAATCACTCAAAACTTCCCCAAATTTGGCACTCCACTGAAAATGCAGTCAGCCATTAAAGAACACGAAAAAATAAAAACCAAGAAAAACTGTGTGATTTGAAAGCATAAACATGCTGAGACAAATGCAAAAGTGCAGAAGGATATTGTACATCTTTGTGGAAAATGTGAAGTTATAGCTGTAGCGTACACATATGATGATGTGCTTGTGTGTGCATACATGATGTGTATGTGTCGTATAGCATGGATAGCACAGCCTTTGTGGCCCAATGGTTTAATTATAAATATAGAATAGCATGTAAGCAGCTCAGAGTTTGACAGTTTCATTACATCAAAAAGAATAATATAAAGAATAATATTATATATTATTATTATATAAAGAATAATAAAAAAAAATATTGAAAATTTTTTCTCACTATGTCTGATAAATAAAAACAATGAAAAAATTATGATATATTTAGTAAACTAAATGATTTTCATAAAATCCATTTATTAATTTCTATTTTTATCTTCAACTGTTGATAATAAATGCATACTAACTCACTGACTGATTGACTGATTAACTGATTAACCGACTGACTGACTGACTCACTCACTCACTCACTAATTGTAAAACTCACAGAAGGCTGTTCGCGGAAATAGCGCTTTACGAACTATTTCCTTGATTGATTGGTTGATTGATTTTAAAATACTTCCCTTCCTCCAATCAAACAAAATTTATTAATTTAAAAATACTTCCGCTCATTCATTCATTCATTCGTTCGTTTGTTCATTCATTCATTCATTCGTTCGTTCGTTCATTTTTTGTTTTGGTTATTCATTCATTCATTTGTCGTTGTCATCGAACAATTTATTTTGCCATTTGTATTTGACTATTTCTAATTGTTATTTATTCATTATCGATTCAGAAAAAATGATCGAATTAAGGGAAATAATTTTAATTTATTTAATTTGTTTAGCCCGGAAACGATTTTTTGAAGATTGAGTATCCGGTAGCCTTGATTTTCGAGATTTTTTTAAAAAATACATAGGTATTCATATTCTACATCAACTGTAAAAAATGATTGATTTAAGGGAAAAATTTTAAATTAATTAATTTGTTTAGCCTGAAATCGGTTTTTGGAAGATTGAGTATCTGGTAGCTTTGATTTTCGAGATTTTTTTAGAAATACATAGGTATACATATTCTATGTCAACTGTAAAAAGGAAAAAGTGATCAATTTAAGGGAAATATTTTTAAAGAAAATAATTGGTTTAGACCGGAAACGGTTTTTTGAAGATTGAGTATCAGGTAGCCCGGATTTTCGAGATTTTTTTTTCAGAAATACATATCCATATTCTATGTCAACTGTAGAAAGGAAAAAAGGATCGATTTAAGAGAAGCATTTTTAAATTAATTAATTTGTTAACCCCAAAAATGTTTTTTTGAAGATTTAGTATCCGGTAGCCCTGATTTTCGGGATTTTTTTTTATAGAAATACATAGGTATTCATATTTTATGTCAACTGTAAAAAAAATGATCGATTTAAGAGAAGCATTTTTAAATTAATTAATTTGGTAACCCCGGAAATGTTTTTTTGAAGATTTAGTATCCGGTAGCCTTGATTTTCGGAATTTTTTTTATAGAAATACATAAGTATTCATATTCTACGTCAACCATAAAAAAAAAGATCTTTTTAAGAAAAGTATTTTTAAATTAATTAATTTGTTTAGCCTGGAATAATTTTTTTGAAAATTGAGTATCCGGTAGCCCTGATTTTCGGGATTTTTTTTTAGAAATACATAAAGGTATTATATTCTACGTCAACTGTAGAAAGGAAAAAGTTATCGATTTAAGGGAAATATTTTAAAATTAATTAATTTGTATAGCCCGGAAACGGTTTTTTGAAGATTGAGTATGTGGTAGCCCGGATTTTCTAGATTTTTTTTTATAAAAACATAGGTATCTATATTCTACGTTAATTGTAGAAAGGAAAAAGTGACCAATTTAAGGAAAGTATTTTTAAATTAATTAATTTGTTTACCCGAGAAACGGTTTTTTGAAGATTGAGTATGTGGTAGCCCGGATTTTCAAATTTTTTTTTAGAAATACACATGTATCTTTATTCTACGTTAACTGTAGAAAGGAAAAAGTGACATATTTAAGGGAAGTATTTTTAAATTAATTAATTTGTTTACCCCGGAAACGGTTTTTTGAAGATTGAGTATGCGGTAGCCGGATTCTCGAGATTTTTTTTTAGAAATACGTAGGTATACGTTAACTGTAGAAAGAAAAAAGTGATCGATTTATAAGTATTTTTAAATTTATTAATTGGTAAACCCCGGAAACGGATTTTGAAGATTGAGTTTCCGGTAGCCCGGATTTTCGTGATTTTTTTAAAATACTTAAATATCTATATTTTACGTTAACTGTAGACAGGAAAAAGTGATTGATTTAATTTAAGGGAAGTATTTTTAAATTATTTATTTTTATCAGTTATTATTTTACATAATGAATATATACATATTTATATACAAAAATATTTATATGTATAAGTCTATTATAAACATTTTACATATGTCTGTGCGAAAATATACTTTACGTGTATGCATGTGTACATCAACGTGCTCTCTCTTTTTACAGCTATGTCTCACTGTGCATATACTTACTGTGGCAATCTTCTATAACGTAAACTAAGCTAAATTAACTGTACCAGTAGTAACGAGTAACCACACTGCGAATATTTGAGATAACTTAATTAATCTTAACCACTAGGCCACTGCGTTGCCAAAGGAAATCCAACCTGTAATTAGCGCAACTTTGCCGGTCAGGTGAAAAATGTTGCTTGCCATTTTGTTTAACTGTTATTAATTGTAGCTTGAAAATCTTTAATGAGGATAGATGGATAGGTATCGAGCGAGAGGCGAGAGTATAATAAACTTAAAAGTGAACTTAGATAATGAATATTTGGTTGTTAACCAAAAATTTAATCCCATCAATATATATGTATATCTTTATACATATATATATATCAAATTAAATGTCTTGATGAATTCGGCATTGAAAATGTGACAGAAATTTTGAATGAGATTTATAACAACGGCGAAATTACTGAAAATCTAAAAAACAACTTGAAATACTCATCCAATCACACACACATACACACACACACACACATTATCGCTTGATGTGACTATGTATCTTCGACAATTGATAATAAATGCAAACTAACTGACTGACCGACCGACTGACTGGCTGGATGGCTGGCTGGCTGACTCACTATTTGTAAAACTCACAGAGGAGCGCTGTTTGCGGAAATAGCGCTTTACAAACTATTTCATTCATTGATTGATTGATTGATTGATTGATTGATTGATTGATTGATTGATTGATTGATTGATTGATCGATCGATCGATCAATCAATCGATTGATTGAAAAATACTTCCCTCCAAGCGAACAAAATTTATTAATTTAAAAATACTTCCGCTCATTCATTCATTCTTTCGTTCGTTCATTCATTCATTCGTTCGTTCGTTCATTTTTTGTTTTGGTTATTCATTCATTCATTTGTCGTTGTCATCAAACAATTTATTTGCCATTTGTATTTGACTATTTCTAATTGTTATTTTATTTATTTATTATTGATTCAGGAAAAAGTGATCGAATTAAGGAAAGTAATTTTAATTTAATTAATTTGTTTAGCCTGAAAACGGTTTTTTGAAGATTGAGTATCCGGTAGCTTTGATTTTCGAGATTTTTTTTAGAAATACATAGGTATACATATCCTACGTCAACTAAAAGGAAAATGTGATCAATTTAAGGGAAGTATTTTTAAATAAATTAATTCGTTTAGTTGGTTTGAAAATCTTTAGTGAGGATAGGTATCGAGCGAGGGACGGGAGTATAATATACTTAAAAGTGAACTTAGATAATGAATATTAGGTTGTTAATCAAAAATTTAATCCCATCAATATATATGTATATTTTTATACACACATATATATATATCAAATAAAATGCCTTGATGAATTCGACATTGAAAAAGTGATAGAAATTTTGAATGGGATTTATAACAACGGCGAAATTCCTGAAGATCTAAAAAACAACTTGAAATATATATATATATATATATATATATATATATATATATATATATATATATATATATATATATATATACAATATTCTATAAATTCTACCGAATGTTTGGCGCTAACATGTTTGAAGATCGATTTCTCTATTTTTCTCACAAAAGTTTTATGGAGAACGATTAGTTTATTACAATTCAAAAAGAACTTATTTCCGAATTCATGCTGCAAATAAGGCCATATTTCGATTCCGAATGAATCATCATCAGTGCGGTTGATGTTTATATATGGAAATATTGACTTTGTCAAAATGAACTTAGATGGAAATTAGGTGTCAGGTTTCTTTATTGGCATTCACAAACTCTTCCGATATTGAAAATCGCGACGCTGAATTAAAAGGAGCCACTAACCTGCTTGTAAACAATGGATATAAGACTTATTCTATTGAAAAGCTAATTACTACACAACAATAACCTTCCTAGTACCAACAATCAAGATAACGACATCATCTTGTATTACAGAAATCCTATGTCAACTGCATACAAAGTAGATGAAGCTATTCTTAAACATATCATCAATAAAAATGTCACACCAACCCAAATAGTAAAGTTAAACTCCGAATTTATTACAACAATAAAAAGACGTCTCACCTAATACTGAAAAACAACTGTAGTCCTAGAGATAACTCTGTGTTAAAGCGTAATCACGTAATATATGAATTTAATTGCCCCTTTGACGGCTGTACACGTCAACATGACTCATATATCGGGATTACTACTACCTCACTGACTAGAAAGCTTACGATGCATAAACAGAGTGGTGCTATCAAATCTCATTTGGACTCAACACACTCAATCACTATAAGCCGTGAAATCCTCGACAGCAACACCAAAGTAATATACCAGAATAGCAACTAAACGCATCTTAAAATTACAGAAGCAGTCCTAATTGACATCAATAAACCAAAAATAAATATACAACGAAAAATGACAACCTCACTCCCAACCCGACGCTTAACCAACAATGAAAACAAAGAAGTAATAAAAACTAGCATTGTAAATAGTGACAAAGAAGAATATGATGCTTTCGATAAAGAAAAGGAGACCAAAGTAGGTGACCAGCCAATAAAGAAACCTGACACCTAATTTCCATCTAAGTTCATTTTGACAAAGTCAATATTTCCCTATATAAGCATCAACCGCACTGATGATGATTCATTCAGAATCGAAATATGACCTTATTTGCAGCATGAATTCGGAAAATAAGTTCATTTTGAGTTTTAATAAACTAAATGTTCACCAAAAAACTTTAGTGAGAAAAATCGAAAAAACGAACTACAAACATGTTAACGCCAAACATTCGGAGTTATGAACAAAATCAAATATCTTTTATCTTAAGCCCTATTCGGCAGGTTATTGTAAAAATTTTGGTCCGCCAACATATATATATATATATATATATATATATATATATATATATATATATATATATATATATATATATATATATATATATATATATATATATATATATATATATATATATATATATATATATATATATATATATATATATATATATATATATATATATATATATATATATATATATATATATATATATATATATATATATATATATATATATATATATATATATATATATATATATATATATATATATATACAGTGTTGTGCTTGTTACTCATTGAAAGTAATTTGTTATTTTTACTTGTTACTTTGGGAAAAAGTAATTTGTTACTGTTACTTGTTATATTTATAGAAAAGTAATCTGTTACTTGTTACTATAAAAAGTAACAAAGTTACTTTTTTGTTACTACAGTACAGCATACATGTAAACAGACGCTGCAAGTACTCTTTCATATATTCTCAATATCAACATTAATAGGTGCGCACATGAATATACATATACAATACATAGAAAGATAGTCAATAAGATACATGTAGTTGGTAGCACCTAAATTTACAATGTACATAAATCACTTATTTGGCAGAAAATAATTTATTTGCCCGCAAAAGCAGTTGACGCTCAAAATGCTCATCAGTCATCCGATTCCTTCTAGGAACCAGTATCTGACCACCTAAACTGAAAAGTCTCTCAACCGGGGCACTTGAAGGTAATGGTGTATTGAATTTCTTGAACAACTTCAAAATACCCGGGTATTTTTGCAGGCATGCAATTTCACGAGAATTATCACTTAAATACAAGTCAAGTTCTGCAGCAGCATCAACGTTGTCACGTGGTTCATTTGCAAACGAAAAAAATTCATCATCTGACACAGTACCTGACTCATGCTTGTTATCAGTATCAGGCTCAGTGACCTGCTGCTGCTGTTTAGCAGCCTGCAACTTGTCATACAGTAAACTACGAGCAATCTTTTTCCTGTCGTTATTGTCAATCCATCTCATACGAAACTGAGGCAATGTGACACTAGCTATGATCAAATCATGACGTTCATCATAACCTTGAAATCGCTTATCAAGGCCGGATAAAACAGCAGTAAGCAAAGGCGCTGCCAACTTCAAAGTTGGTTTTACTGTTAGTAACTTTGTTCGCAATGACATTAACGTTGGCAACAAAAACCCAATAAAACACTTCGTTTCTGCTTGGAGTATGTCCAATGCAGCTGCCATTGGTTGCATAACACAACAATACTCTTTCAAGAAAAGGATGTCATTGGGACGAAATTGTGGGACCTCAAGAGCTACAAAAACTTCAGCAATATTGTCCTCAGATTGTTTTTCAAGGACCTGTCTCACTTTGTCAACTGCATTAAAGTACGAGTTCCAACGTGTAGCATTAGGCACAATGAAGAAAGTGTGAAACTTATCACGCACAATATCTGCAAATTGTGTGCTACGTGAAGTCTTGTTCCACAATGCAGAACACTTGACCATTGTTGACCGAGAGAGTTTTTTGTAAACAGCATCACTATTTGCACTTTCTATATCATGACTAGCAATCAAATTCAATGTGTGAGCAGCACAACGCTGATGAAGGGGTAAATATAAGTCACTGTCCTCATCATGCTCTGGTTCACTTAGCAATGCATCAACATCAACAAAAGCAACATTGTTATCATCATCATCACTAACTACACTACCATCATTTGCAAACTCTTTAAATGCTTTAACAAAGTTCGAACCATTGTCAGTTACTGTCATCAGTACTTTGTGGTTAATACGATACGCCGTATGTACAGCATTTAACCTAACAGCAATGCAATCATACGTGTGACGCCCTTTCATGCGCTCACAGCACAAAGCCGCTGAACGTCTTTCCAGAGTATCAGGATCAATCCAGTGCGCTGTGATGCCTAGAAAGCTCCTGTTGTTGGATGACCAGATATCCGCTGTTGTGCACACATGATCGACTTTGCTGAGCGCTGCACAGATGCTTTCCTTCATCGTGTTCGCGAGTTTGTCCAACTTATCTGTAAACAGAAAGACGCGTGTTGCAAATTTAGTAGGGTCTTAAGGATTGTATTTACTTTTATTTGACATCGTTCAAAATAAGCAATTAATGTGACGAACCACAAAAAATCATATTATATTATAGAGATTGAACTAACCATTAAGAGTTTTTCTCGACAAAACTTTCTTTGTTGGCTGGAGACCTTGAACAAGCTCGATGAAGGGTTGAGATTCGACGATGCTCATTGGCTCCATATACTCGACAATGAAGTTTGTCACAGCTGATCGACCTTCGCCTGCGAAATTACAGAACTACCAAGTGGGGTGCATGTTGTCACAGTTGCTTGTATGCAGGCTTTCTTTGCAGGCATGTCGGACACTTAACTAGTAGCCTTCCTCTTCCGGCATTCCTTTACTTTCTCCAAGACGTTTGGATGCTTCTTCTGTACAAGTTCACACATCATTCAATTTTAAATATTATTTCGCTAATATTTAAAAAAATAGACAAACACAAGCTAATGTCCATTCAGTTATGTATGTTGTTCAATTCAGTTGTAAATGACAGCATTTGCTAATTCATCGGATGACTGCGGAATAAAAATTAGGTGTTGTAGATAATTCATTGCATCCCATTCAGGCATTATTTCGTTCCGAAAAAACCGATAATTTATAAAAAAACAAATTTTCGTTAACATTAAAAAAAACCTTACCTCCACGTGTTTTAAAAGATTCGCTAGGCTGATCTTCGATGTGCTAAGAATCGTTCGTTTTGGTAAGCACCGCTTGCACTGTACTCTCACATTCTTTCCTTCTTCTTTAACTACGTTAAAATATTCCTTCAGTTGTTCCATCCAAGCTACTTGGCCTACTTCATTATCAGTTGAATCCAATTCCTTCTCGTCTTCCATTATGCCAACTAAATCCGCGCAACTTACTAAATCACAAACCATGTGAAATGCTGAGACTGAGAGTAAACATAAACAAGAAAAGGAAGTGCATACAAGCATAGAATATTAAATTGGCAAGTCATGGAAATGGTTCGTCTAATGAACGACTGAGCCGCAACAGGACAACCAATGATGGTTATAAATCAAGCACTGCTGAAAAAAGTAACGAAGAACAAAAGTGCATAATATTTGTTACTGTTACTGCAAAAAAATAATTTGTTACTGTTACTTGCTACCCTGCACAAAAAGTAATCTGTTACAATTACTTGTTACTGGAAAAAGTAATTTGTTACAGTAATTTTGTTACTAGTAATTTGTTACTCCCCAACACTGTATATATATATATATATATATATATATATATATGTTGGTAATAGACCATAATTTTGTATATATATATGTTGGTTATAGACCATAATTGTTGTCAAGAAGCTCTGATGATGATTCATTCGGAATCGAAATATGGCCTTATTTGCAGCATGAATTCGAAAAATAAGTTTATTTTGAATTTTAATAAACTAAACGTCCACCAAAAAAACTTTAGTGAGAAAAATCGAAAAAACAAACTATAAACATATTAACGCCAAACATTCGGTAGAATTTATAGAATATTGCCTACGGCGGATAATGGTTTACCAAAAATACTTTTTGCGACTGAATGGGTTCTTAAACCTTGTAACAACGTGATGTTGTTCTTACCTATTGGTCGCGACACCTCATTTTGAGTTTCTTGGTTACAATAATTGAGTTGTGTTATCTTAAGCCTTATTCGGCAGACTACTGACGAGTCTCGTGAGAAACGAAACGTACGTCTGGCCTACGGCGGATAATGGTTTACCAAAAATATATGTATATATATATAATATATATATGTATATATATATAATTAATCAATTATACATTATGAGATGCATTGAAGATAGTTTTTTAACTCATATTTGAATGGGCGATAGATCATGCACGACCTAACAAAAGACTTTTCCACTTATAAATTCCATAAAAACATACATTTCTGTCGAGCAACTTACTTTTTATAACAGAAACTTTTAATTTATTTTCGAAGTTCACACGCGTATTTCTTATTTTTGTATCATATTTAAAAGATTCAATTAGATGCGCGTCTGATGTTTTCAACAAATTATTGTTAATTTTAAATATAAAACAGCATGCCTTAAAATCATTAATTTCAAAAATTGGTAAAATTTGAATCTGATGCTTTCAACAAATTATTGTTAATTTGAAATATAAAACAGCGTGCCTTAAAATCATTAATTTCAAAAATTGATAAAATTTGAAGTTGATTAAATAAGTTTTTTTGTCCATTTTGTGTCTAAAGTTTAAAATTGTCAAAGCTTTTTTTGTGCAATAAAAAGCGATTCTAAGTAAGTTTTAAATGTGTTGCCCCATATTAAGTTTGCAAAATATAAATGTGGGTAGATAAAGGCATAATACATTAAAAATTATACTTTATTTGGTAAAAGATATTTTTATTGGTAAACCATTATCCGCCATAGGCCAGACGTACGTTTCGTCTCTCATGAGACTCGTCAGTAGCCTGCCGAATAGGGCTTAAGATAAAAGATATTTGATTTTGTTCATAACTCCTAAATTTCAATTAATTTTTGTAAGATAAAATCGATATGTTTTTTAAAATTTAGATTTTGATCTATTAAAACCCCTAATAATATATAGCAATTCACTCTTTCAATTTCAGAATTTCCTATCTTTAAGAGAAATTCATCATTTTTGATGTGATCTATTAAAGATCATATATTTAGTTTTTTTTATATTTATATTAATCTTATTGAAATTTGACCAGGTATTTAATGCATTTAAACTATTGTTTGTGTATGCACTTAAGTCTTTCGTACTTTTAGAGGTGTCATCAGCATAGATGATAAATTTTGACAACTTCTTTGTGTTAACAATATCATTAACGTAAAGTTTAAACAATTTAGGCCCTAGTAAATACGACAGTCTGAACCCATATATATATATATATATATATATATATATATATATATATATATATATATATATATATATATATATACAATATATACAAATTCATTTTTATTTTGAAACAACAACCACACGGCCACCTCTCTCCAAAGGAAGGGGTTTTTAATTTTATGCCACTTCTGTACACCCAGGACGAACGTATGCAACAAGATCATTCTAACAACAATGTTGTTAATCGTCTTAATGAGACGGTGCAAAGATAGGACGCCACAGCGTAACGTATTATACCATACATCACATAACACGGCAATCATAATAGGATGGCATGATGCTACGTGGCGTGGAATGATGCAGAAGAAGGTATCAGCTGATAGTTTGTTTATGTTTACATTTGTGCACGTGCTACAACGTTTTCTCAATTTATACCTACATCTTCATCGAAATTGAAGATGTTTGAGTTTTATTATTTTGCAAACTATGGAGTCGACGGCAGCATGTGAGGTTAGTTTGCTGGAGGAGGTTGGAGTGAATCATTTGACGATTGTCCTGCTGGGCATCACCGTCCTGCTGACTGCTGTGACTTTATTGAGAGGTTCCTTGGCCACAAATGAGGTGGGTGCGCTTTTAATTGTAGATCGTGTTAGTGTTGTCTTTTGTACTGAACTTTTACTTAATGAAATGTGACAGAGTTATATCACAATAAATAAGTAGACAAATTCAAACTTTTTGTAATCGCGCATTCAAATTGCTTGTAAATTTTATCAATGTAAAACGTTACACAAAATTCAACACTCCATGCATCTTATAACTGAAACATGTTCCTAATAAAAATACACTTGGCAGCGTGCACCACCACACATGCCATCGACGATCCCCTTCGTCGGCCATTCAATCCAATTCAGCAAGTCACCTGTAGAATTTCTAACAGCAGCTTACTTCAAAGTTTAAATGTTTTTGTGCTTTAACTTTTTTATTATGTACATTTATTTTTATTCATATCTCAAAACATTTCAATAATTCAATTTAATCGATGTTGATAACTCGACAGTTTAGTAATTGAAAATGGTGCAGCATACGTCCGTACGTATGGAACGACGTTATCATTAGCAGTAGTAAACTGTAAATATACATAATGACGCTCTTTTGAACACGACAAAACTCATTTCGACAGCACGGACCAGTGTTCAGCTTCACGATGGTCGGCAAGACGTTCACCTACCTGCTGGGCTCGCAGGCATCAGCCCTATTCTTCAGCAGTAAGAACGAAGACCTGAACGCTGAGGAGGTCTACGCCAAGTTGACGACCCCTGTTTTTGGCAAAGGAGTGGCTTATGATGTTCCAAACAATGTCAGCCTGCGTGGGAGTTAATGGAGATGTTTGAAAATTATGAGTTTCATTTGATATGATCCATTACTAACTTTCAAATCATCGTATAAAATTATAATTTTCATTTTATAATTTTCATTCACAAACAAAAAAATGCTTAATTTTTAACTTTGATTAATTGAATCAATCTGAATTATTCACTGCCTGACATTTAAAAGTTTTACAACGATCTCTGGTTAAATTCAGTCATTTTCTGATCTAGTCTTATCTAGTTAACAATTTTACAGTTGCCAGGATCGTTCAACTTATCATCTGATTCTGCCGATGAATTGTTTAAACAATTAAACAACGAATTAAATCAGTTTCATTTCATAATGTGATTTAAAAATTTATTTAACTTATGCAGGTCTTTCTAGAGCAGAAAAAGTTGTTGAAAACGGGTTTCAGCATATCTCGATTCAAACACCACGTCCATCTCATCGAGCGTGAACTTCTTGAATATTTCAACCGGTGGCAACACGAGGGAGAGGCAGGTGAGGGAGGCAAATGAAAATTTACGTTATCATTACTGCAGCTGAATTCTAAGATGAATACATGGCAGTTAAATTTCATTTTCAAATATCTATCTGATTGATGGTATTAAAAAAAGATAATTTCTGTGGTTGATGACCCGTGAGTGATGTTTAATTAACAAGTCATGAAATAAGGTTTTTATTTGCATTACACTGTAGTGATTGCGTTTATAAAATACAAGCGTTGATTAGCTCAACAACAAGAAATGTTAAATGAATTGAAAAAATTTCAGATCTGTTTGCTTCGCTATCGGAACTGATCATTTTGACAGCCAGCTCCTGCCTTCACGGTGATGCTTCTCTTCATTTCCATTTGTTTTATTAATTTTTAATTTTCGAATTATTACAAAAATTGTTTTGGACAACATGTACTAGGAAAAGAAATAAGAAGTTTGTTGAGTGAGGATGTTGCGCAGTTGTACTGGGATTTAGATGCAGGCTTCTCCCACCTGGCCTGGGTCCTTCCGGCCTGGTTCCCCTTGCCCAGTTTCAAAAGACGGGATCGGGCCCACAGGAAGGTCTGCTTCTAACTATCTTATGCGATTTATTTTATAACAACTAAAATTTAAGATTGATTCAATAGTATTTTGTGTTGATCCATTTCCATTGCTTGTCGATATTTTTGGTACTCTGTTCATAATGTACGTTGGGAATAATATATTCAGCAATAATAATCGTTAAAATGAATCAGATGAAGGAGTTGTTTCTCGAGGCCATCAGGATGAGGAGGTCATCACAGACGAAGGAGGACGACATGCTCCAAACACTGATTGATGCTTCCTACAAGTTTGCTAATGCCTGTTCTTCCTTATCACATGTTTTTTGAAATTAATCACTGACGTTGTGTGAAGCGATGTAAACACAGTTCTACTCATATATACAAATGAAACGCAATCCTGTTGAAGATGGGCTTGAGATGACGTCATCCTACAATTTCGAAGACATTTGTTATTTTGATCATGTTTGCGACTAAAAATCATAAAAAAATATTTAATGAATTGTTTATTTGAAATGAATGACCACACGGGTAGAAATGGTAGAGCGTTGAGTGACGATGAAATATCCGGAATGCTGATTGGATTGTTGCTGGCAGGTCAGCACACCTCATCAACTACTGCATCGTGGCTGGGTTTCTTCATTGCGAAACATCAGGACATCCAGGTGATGTTTTCATTTGTTTTGCTATTTTTTGTAAATTCAGATATTTTTTTATTTTTTTTATATAAAAGTGAAATTTAAATTATTGACGGACATATTGAATTACAAAAAGCAGGATGCCCTTTATGAGGAACAAAGGAAAGTTTTTGGTAAACATGCAGATGGTGAACATGCAAATGGTGAGCAATCGCATGGACATTTGTCATACGATGGTTTAAAGGAATGTCATCTGCTGGACCTTTGCTTGAAAGAGACGTTGAGGATGAGGCCACCAATCGTGACGATGATGAGGATGTGCAAGACACCTCAGGTCTGTCTGCTGTTTCATAGCGGAGTTGGGTGGCTGATTGATGCACAAGCTGAGAAATATGATGATGAATGGAAAAGTTGGTGCGAGTGTTTAACTGGCTGCAAACTGTCAACCAACCAAAATTATATACATTTTTCTGCACGTTAGAAAATCTTGAACTACGTGATACCAGCCGGCCATCAAATCTGTGTGTCCCCGACAACGAACCACAGGCTTCCCGACACGTGGCACCAGCCTCAATTCTTCGATCCTTATAGGTCGTTTATGGTAACTTTTTATTTTTCTGGTAAAATTTGTTCTATTCTTAAATTGTAATTGATATTAACGTTTAATTACCTTATCTGTAAAAATTGGTAAGTTCAACGTTAAGTTTATGCTATAAATAACATTTCTTCCTGGTAACAACGAACTCGCGTATAAAACATTCAAGCATTTATTAAATTATTTTGTGATGCGCTTAATCAAAAAGATTTGAAGACACGGCAATGGCAAAAGCCGAGGACAAGTTTGTGTACGTACCGTTCGGAGCGGGTAGGCACAGGTGCATCGGAGAAGCATTCGCCTACGTTCAGATCAAGTCAATATGGTCTTACCTCATTCAAAAGTTTCATTTTGAACTGGTGGGTGGGAAGTTTCCTGAAGTCAATGTAACAACCATGATCCACACACCAAGCGACCCTATCATCAGATACAGGCGGAGATAATGGATCCTATTTACAATTTATCTAATCTAACCATAACCATGAATTACTGATCGCTGAAATATGCATAAGTTGATAAACGTTTTAATGTTAATAAACTCGTCATCAAACAGCCATTTAAACCACTTTTGTACGTTAATTATAATATCATAGAATTGAATTCGCAAATGTTTTTGTGATAAAACGAGAAGAAAATGTAAATTTATTCTCTTTCTTAATAATGTATTTTAATGTTCTCAATAAAATCAACAAACCAAAAATTATTTCTCGACACTTTTGTTTAATTAAAAACTGCAAAAGTTCAACGCAGTGAGATTCATGTACGTAAGACAACACTAAAAGTAGCGTCACTAACGATATAAAAATATTTATCATTACAAGCTTTAACAAATTTATGTTATAATAATTGGACACTAAACAGAAAGTTGAAACAAATTTTCTTCAAATGAACGGGATGTGCCAAACTACAAGTCTGATTCTCCGTACATCAGATTGGCAAATGTTGTGTAGTCGAGTGCGTTGGCTGGCGCATCCTTTCCAGTGTATCTCGACATTCTGGCTATGCAGTAATCTGCATATTCGGGAATGAGCTCGTGACGCAACGTCTCTTCGGTCAGGTATGGCTAATGTGGGGTAATCAAAAAATAAAAATATGTACTACAAACATTTAATATCAATCTAAAAATGTAATGAATCAAATGGTAAGAAACATGTGTACCTTGTCGTTGGCGAGTATTTTAAAGGACTGAATGAGTTGCTCGGAAGTTTCGACATCGAGCGATTCCTTGGACATGAAATCAAGGAATGCATCGAACGTAACGTAGCCCAATCTGTTGGGATCCACTTCGGACATTATCTTCTGGAACTCTGTATCACCCTGTTGTCGTTTCATCGTGTGGTTTGTGTTCATGTTTTATAAGCTTCAGGGTTTCGAAAAATTTCAGTAGTAATAGTTGAAAAAAGGAAGGCCAAACGGTGTAAAAAGTTCAATTTGGAAATGTGTGGAGACATATTTGTTGTGCGATAAAATAATGCAATCAATGGATTAAACTTGAAACAAAAATTATTTTATAGAACAAATTTCATTCAAATTCTGCCTTAAAAATTTCGCATTAAGTTTTGATGTTAGAGAATGGATAGGTTTCTTTAACGTAACGTAATGAAGAAAACCTGTTTGTTGTCCAGCAATTTGTAGCCGATAGAAATGAGACAGGCTCTAAACTCGTTGGCATCCAGCTTTCTGTTCTTACTCTTGTCGAAATGTTGGAATGATTTTCTGTACTCTTCCAACTGCTGGGAACTGATGCCTTTTGAGTCTCTCGTTAGAATCTTGTTCGAGAAACAAACATTAAATGATAGCATATATTTAATACATGTACACGCAGATTTCGATGAATAAGCTAAGGCGTGTCATGATATTAAAAGAGGTTTAGTCTTTGGCAGACAAAATTTTTATCGCGAGAATGATATTTAGCGGAGCATATATAATTATAATTTAACTATTACTCTTCATTAAATTTACTACTTCATTATGTATTAGTATGTATTATGTATTTCAATTTAGCTGACTTACAAACAGTGTGTAAAATAGCAGGACAAACAAGTTTTAACGGCCATCCTAAATTAAAATAATAGACTTTTAATTAAAATAAAAAAACTAATTAAAACATCTAAACATAATGGCCCAGTTAAGAAACATTACAAATGTTGGAAATGTTGACCCAATTAAAACACATTATAAATGTTGATCCAATTAAAACACATTATAAATGTTGGCCTAATTGAAACATCACAGAGGTGTTTATTTAATTACTATTACAGCACAACGAACACGTTGAACTTTAACCGACCTGATTTTCAAGTTCGTTGATGTTCCACGAAAGTGACGTCTGCAGTTGTTCCCACTTAACGTTCAATGTCTTGAATGTGGTTGTGTGAAAGTTTTATCGTTATTAACAAATTCTTGGAACGCTAATTTTGTGGTCAATAATTAAAAAATAAATTTGCAGTTCAGTCACCTCCATAGTGTACGATGAATAGGAATTGTCAAATATAAGAGCTTCTTGTAAAGATTTGCTGTACAATTGCAGTTCAGTTATGTTCTTCGTGTAATCAATCACCTAAAGTTTTGTTGATTGACCGTTGTTTCATTAAAAATTCCATTAATTAGTTAATAGTTGATAAGTTATATATAAAATGTTAGTATATAGTTGTGTTTTAGTTAAATGGGTTGAAACTAGCTACCCAACCGACTAAAACCAGAAAAGAAATGGCGAGTTCGGTGCTATCTAGGCTTCATTTGACAACTTTCGGGGCCAGCCGGTCATTCAACAAACGGATGAACCCGAAAAGTACAAAACAACATAAGAAAACATCGAAATCGCCATCCTTTGACTACAACGAATGAACATTTAATACTTCTTTGTCCAGACTTTTCAGCTTGGCAAGATGATCTTCTAACGTTCCTTTGGAACCGACAACATTGCCAATGTAGTCGTAATGCTGATCAATCCACTGTCCTACAACGTTGGCCTTAGCAGCAAATTTTTTTCTCAAGTCCTCATTGTGCATCTGCCTGGTCAGTTCCTCCTGCAGTTTCCTGTCTCGCTCTGGAACCAACTGCATCAAAGCCCGCCACCTTTCTGTTATAATCTTTCCAATTGCAAATATTACTAATTATTACTAAGTAGAAAGTAAATTTTATGCAAGTGCGATAACAATCATGAAAACCCCACAATAATTTTTTTATACAGCCAATAATCAAAAAAAGTTATACAAGTATTACTGCTGGTAATAAGGTAGACAAAATCTTGTAAGTACTGCTTATGTATACTTATACCTGAGCATTGACAGGTGAGTATGGATTGATTGAACAGAAGACAACAGCATGCTTCTCGCACAGATTTTTGATCTGCTTCTCAGTAGAGACGATGTTCTGGCATTCCTGGTCAGCATCTGGCAGAGATTTCTTGAAGCTCTCGTGGGCTTCAATCAGCAACTGGAAATTTTTTTGAAGTGTTGCACTGAGGTTCTTTTTTTATTTACCATTAAATGATCATATCGACCAATGAATTCCTTGCTGTGCCTAACGAAATAGATATTACTAAATTCATCGTGACTGATGATATGGAAAAAACCTTGAACATATTAATAAAAAATGAACCCAATGTGTTTTGTTTTTAAATTGAATAAATTTTACAGATATCGAAATTTTCTATCGAAAAATACATAAAATGATTTGAACTAAGATATTATTGATATTATATTTTACAAAACATTTTTTTAATGTGAGAAGCGTATTGTCGTTTATTATTGTTGCGTATTATCAAAATATAAATTCAAATAGTATATTTTTCTCAAGCTTGAAATTGAAATCTTTGACAGTCAGAATTTTAAAGAAATATTATGCAAAGATTAACTTCAAATTTTCAGAATTTCTATGACTTTGAGCAGCATTTTTCAAAAACTAGCTGGTAGCCACTTGCAATAACTCGAAACCACGACTAATTATTTCGATGTTTCATATAAATAAAAACAATAATTTTAAAATACACACATCCAAAGTAAACAGGAAGCTGAACATTTACAGTACATTTTGAATAGGCTCTGTCAGGGGCAGTAAATATTCTCTCGAAAAATAATTGAAAAAATGGAAAACGTCACATTCGTATATCAATTATATATATATATATATATATATATATATATATATATATATATATATATATATATTTGTATATGAGTGAAAATATTCATAGTAAGGCTGCCCACTTGGATTTCATTGACGGAATGAACTTGGAACAAATCCTGGAGGTCATCACTCGTCGACGCCAACCAGTTTCCAAAAATCTTTTTAAATATAAATTTTCGTTATTACATCAACTGATCGATCATGTGATGGAGTTCTTAATATAGTTTCAGTGGGGTCGATGTTACATAATTTTAAAAAATTTTTGAAAATATTTGGATATGTTTGAAAATCTGTACTACCAAAAATTACCGTACACTTGATTTTTTAGCAAAATCCAAATAAAGTTGATCAATCCTCTCCAATTCAGTTTCAACTTCCTACATCATCAAACGTCATCCATTAATGCATAATATAATATTGGATACAATTCTTATGCAAAATTTTGAAAAAATGAAACCACACACATCGACTGTATTTGCTTAATCATGTACACCTCGTCCTATACAAGGATGCTAAATACGCACATAAATATTATTCAAAAATCTAATGAATTGATACGTTTACGCTTAAGTAGGATCATTCAATGAGCTTTTAAGTTGTGTATATCCTATTCCGAACAATTAACTTAATAATTTGTTTCACGACATCAGAAGTGCAGCGTATGTCTCAAACATCGTGGATATAATAGAAAATAAATTAAACGTCTATGGATAATAAAAATATGAGTGAAAAATTACAAAAATCATTTAAAATCTGTCTAATGATTTTTTTAACAAATAAATTTTTTTTACTTCATTTAATGGACACAAGAAAGTCGCTTGAGATCTCCAAATAAGTAAAAAATAGATAGAATGTTCGAATGAAAAATGACATGATGTAATTGTTAATCCTGTTCTTATTAAATTTGAAAAATTGTTAACAAAAATGTGCAAACTTGAAGTGACGTTTTCTTTGTTTTAGCTTGATTTTGTAGTTGATTCCACTCACATTGGACCTGCTGATGTCGGGAGTTGATGGATGCCATGTCGTGGTACCCCAAGATGCTGTGGTTTGTGGTGGAGAATGTTCATTGAAACGTTAAATGTCTACATGAGGATTTAGTAAAGACTGGCAACACTGTTATCAGAATGAAGCATACGTTCATGCACGCTTTTATGAAATTTGTAAACAACAAATTTTCATCAAAGCTATTAAGATGTTATCGTCATAAGGAGATAAAGTAATCAAAGCTCCTGATAATAAGGATAATTTTAATTAAGCTAAACATTATTCTGGTAACATTTCACGTTTTAATTTCTAAATGAAACTAAATGAAAAATTAAAGTATTGAACGAAGACAAAAGAAAGTGAGATACGCAAGTTCTGTTGCGATGTCATTAATTTCTTTCATCCTCTCCTCGTGAGCCATCAAATCGTTCTCCAGCGCTTCATGCCGTTTCTGTTTGGCCTGAAACATTTCACAAATATCAAAAACTTTATATATAAAAAACTTTCTGGAATATGAAATTACGACAGAAAAGTAGTAGTAAAACAGCGTTGAAACCACACATTCAATAACTTATAGAGGAAACCGCTATAGCAGAAGAGTGTTGATTGCGCGCGAAAATGCTTCCTGCCTTAATGTTAAGTTCAATTACCACTTTTCATGAATTCCTTTACTAAAATTTCACGGTTTTCAAAAAATGGCTAGGTATCATTTTTCACTGCATTTTCTTCAAAGGTGTCCAAGAAAACCACACAGCTTGTGTGGACGCGCATGAAAACCACATTACACACACTGCAATGCATGCGAAAGGTGAAATTCTCTTTGCGTGAAAGGTGAAACCAGGTTCGGGCAAAGCAGGAGTAGGTGCCTTGAAACATATCGCCGCGTAATTATATATTATCAAGTGTCATTATACAGCGCCAATTAAAGCATCTCAAAGCGCTATCAGAAATAAATTAAAAATTACTGCGCGTAATTAACAGAAAATAAAATTATGTAAATAAATACAACTTCGTTTTAGTTTTCGAGAAAATAAATATGTTTTCAATTTTGTTTTCAAATGGCACAAAATAAAGTCCATGTGTTTTCATTGAAGCCGGCAGGTTGTTCCAGACTATCAGACCAGCAACAGCAATGTCTCTTAAACCAAACTGCAATCATCTAACCGGAACTGCCAGTAGATTCATACCATCTATCATAATTTGAGACAAGAGCATGAGGCAGCAACGTTTTTGAATAATTTACCTGAGATGTATTTTGGTCACATACCATTTAATGATCTGAACATTATTATTATTACCGCGATCTTGAATATTATTTTCTTTTCAACTGTCAACCAGTTAAGCTTTTTTAAGATTGGCACTACATGTTCAAAATTTGATTTGCCGATCGTCACTAGTTTTGCAGTCCAATCCTGGACAATAACTGACCTCTGGGGCATTTTATAAAACAAACCATTGCAGTGGCCCAACCTTGATGACATGAAAGCATGGTCTAAAGTAACCATTGCTGATATATCTATGATAATTGAATCGATATAAATTTTTTTACGAAAGTAATACAGAAAATTGATACCATTCAAATGTGGTCGTTTATGGATATTATCATTATTGGTGTGTTTGTAAGCGTCTTTTAAAAATATCTCAGAGGCGCTAACGATTACTAAGACAATGCAATAAATGGAGAGAAAAAACATTAGCACGGGTAAGCTTGGACAAAAAGATGGTGTTTCAACCTTCTACAAAATTGAATAACACGCAGGATCACGAAGGTTCCTAGGCAAACTATTCCAGACAGCAAACTCATTACGGAGAAATTCCTTCGATCAAAAGCCAAGTATGTGTCAGGTACAAGCAGTAAACCTGAATTGTCAGAACGCAATGTTTTATGTTAGATGTAGTTCTAGGAATGACTCTGTCAGTTAAATATTTAGGGGCGACTCCCCTAATAAATTTAAAAACCGTTAAACATATACTAAAAATAATTCTTTGATAAACCGAAAGCCAGTGAAGAGCAAAAAAAATTGGCTTAATGTAACCTAAGTCTACGCAATTGTCCAGAGCATTCTTTCGAAAAAATAAATGTAACGGTTGAAAAATATTAAAGGTTCAGAGGAATCAATAACGCACAAATAACTTATACGAATGCATGCTAAACGACACATCACACACAAAGATTATCTTCAATCTGATTGCCAGTGAAATTTGACAAACTGACCAGAGTTTGTCCACATCAGGGATTGGAAATGCAGTTGCAACAACAATCCAAGTGAAGTAAACCTTTCTATAAGGACAAGGATAACTATAAAGTTCATCAAGTTTCGAACTTTCGAGAATGTTCATTAAATATATATATATATATTTACATTCTATTATGTGTTTTCGGGCAGGATGGTCAAGTTTCATGTCTTGTCAATTTTTTTTAATTTTGATATTTAATATTCATATTTTATTTTAAATTTTATTAATTTAATTATTTCAACTCCTAACTAAACAGCATATATTTCTCTATTTTTATATATTTATTATTATTGCTTACTGTTTTTATTATTTTTCTACGGTTTTAAATATTTTGGTTTTATTTATATCATTTTAAACCGGTTTTATTTTGATATTTAATACTCATATTTTATTTTAAATTTTATTAATTTAACTATTTTATCTCCTAACTAAACTGTATATATTTTCTTTTTATATATATATTTACTATTATTGCTTACGGTTTTTATTATTTTTTTTTTACAGTTTTAAATATTTTGGTTTTATTTCTATCATTTTAAACTGGTTTTATTTAGATAAATATTGGTTTGGTATTGGACTAGTTTTATCCGTGTTTCTCTATTTTTCAGTAATATGATAATTAATTTTATCATAAAGTTTTTAACATTTTAATTTTTGTTTTATGGGTCCAAACTAAATTCTTAATATAATTTTTTTGTTTCAATTAAAATTACACACAAATTCAAATTACATGGTCATAACAGTTGCGCATAGCGTAATAGTATGCATTGTGCATTTACACACATCGCATTGTTCTCATTCATTAACTTCGTATTAAATGACGTGTTTTAGTTTTCTATATCGATTATTCAATCTTTCACACCAGTTCATAAATTTTGATAATAATTTGTGTTTAAGCTAAAAGTACTGTTGTGGCTAGAGGCGCTGAGAGTTTATATTGCCGCCTCAGGCAAGATACGTGCCGGCCATTCGTGAAGTTGTTGTCATTGGTCGGGTGTGTATGTACCTATTTAAAAATATAATTAAGTTTTTTTTTAATATAATTAACAACAGCGTCCAAATCAACAGTAGGATCGATGCTTTTTCTAGTGGCCCATTCGAGGAATTGGTAAAAGCCATGAAACCTGTTTTAAAGGATGAAAGGGGAGGAGGTTGTCAACCAAAAATTTGTGCCATGGTCGAAAGCAAAATTGAAAAAGGTAATACTTGAAATGCCATGAAAATTTTGTCATCAACAGACACAATGGCTCCAAACTCTGACGATTCTCTCAATGCTTTAAAAAAAAGCACTCCGATGCCCGGGCTGACAGGAAACTCAATCTAGAAAAGGAAACCGTTAGCGTCTCTATCACTGCTCAGCAATTGATGAGACAATTTCCAAAAGGAACTTCCGGTGGAAGAGACGGCCTAACCCCCCAGCATCTAAGAGATTTGACGCATGACAAAACAAAACCACCGAGCTTATCAACGCAGTGACTTGTTTTATAAACCTTTTGCTAAATGGTGTTTGTCCTCCTGAGGTGATTCCATATATGTTTGGTGGGAGACTGATAGCACTGCTGAAGAAAGATAGTGGAACTAGGACCATTGCTGTTGGTTGTGTGTGGAGACGTTGGGCCGTTAAATGCGCTCTTTTGGTTATTAAGGAAAACATTACTCCAATTCTCCAACCACAACATGTCGGTGTAGGAGTTAGCGGTGGCGCAGAGGGAGCGATACACGCTGTCCGGCGGTTTGTGAGCAACATGAGTGAAGACGAGGGTTTTAAAAAACTGGAATTTTCCAATGCTTTCAATTTATTGCGTCGTGACCACATGATCATCTGCGTGAAATCTGGACTTCCGGAGATTTATAACTTCTGTTGGCTGGCTTATGATGTAAATTCATTCCTATTGTTTGGCAATGATATTGTTTTATCTGCCGAGGGTGTTCAACAGAGTCCTCTAGGTCCTCTATGTTAAGTTTTATGTTTTATATTAAAACATTATGATTTATAATATACATTTATTTTTCTTTGGACCAAATGTTCTTTGCTTTGAATGTAACTTCACTTTTTCCTTTTCTGTTGATCCGGTGGATAATAAACAAGTCGAGAACGTTGCTTAGTTTGTTTCTCTTCTTTTAATGTCTTTCAATATTATATCAATTAATTAAACGATCTACGTGACAAGAAATTTAACAGGTTATGGGCCCAGATAACGTTTTTTCTTAATTAATTGATTTGACGAAGAAAATTTAGAAAAAAGAAATATCGGAAGTTTCCTTTGTGAAGACTGAAGTGAAGAAAAAACACATGCTTCTTCATTATCTGAAAGTCGATATTTTGCTTCTAATTAAAAGGTCAAATTGAAAGACAAGGAAGAAATGGATCTAACAAAAGTGAAGATCAAAGACCTAGAAGGCAAAAGTAATTGGATGAACTGGAAGTCGAGAGTTTGTATAATACTACGCGGCATTCCTGATGCAATGGACGTAGTAAATGGCAAATTAAAAATTCCAGATGAATTAGACGATGACTCAAATAAAGATGAGATAGCAAAATATCAAACTGCTTTGAACAGATTCAACAGAGCAGATTGTAATGCTATAATTGTTCTGTCAACCAACATGACCGATGAAACGTATGAAAAAGTTCGTTCATTCAGTAATGCCAGAGATGTTTGGTTAGAACTTCACAGATTGTATGATAAAGTTAATGAAGATAAAGCATACAACTTGTGCATGAAGTTCTTTAGATATAAAATAGATGAAAGCGATGATGTTGTCACTCATGTCACAAAACTCAAGAATCTTTGGAAAGATTTAAAGGTTGAGTTAGGAAAAGATGAAAGCAGTACTTGTTGCTGATGTGCCAAATAATTGAAACTTTGCTAGAAAAAATATTTTTCATTTGCTGCAAGTTGGAGATTGTTGAACAAGACTGAAAGAACAGTCGAAACACTCACAGATCAATTGTGTAGCTATGAGAGATCTTTAGAAAGCAAAACAGAATGTAATAAAGTATTATTTGTCAAAGCAACAACTAAAAGGTCATCATCACTAAACATGAATGGTCAAAAACAAGATAAATTTGTCAGCAAACCAAAGCGACTGATATGTCATTATTGCAAATTGCCAGGTCACATTGTAAGAAATTGTGAAAAATGGCATTCTGATGATAGACCAACAAAACCAAGAAATAACAATCTACGCGATGACAATAAGTCACTAGTTGTTATGGAATCAAGTGTTTTTGCAATTGATGAGTCAGCGTACACTGATGAATGGTTTTTTGACAATGGTACAACGTGTCATCTAACTTTCCGAAGAGACATATTTCAAAGTTTTGAAAAATTTTCTCAACCGAGTAAATTATATGTTGCAAATGGTGATACTGTAGAAGCTTTTGGAAAAGGAATTATTCATCTTCAAGCAAAAGTGAATAATAAATGGCAAACTGTTAAACTTACAGATGTCTTGTATGTGCCAAAAGTAAAAAGAAATTTGTTCTCAGTACTTGCAACTCAAGATAAGAACAGAAATAGCTCTTTTGTTTCAACCTCAAGAAGTTGTCATCTACTTATTGACAATGTGATAAATGTTGTTGGAATAAGAAACAACAATGGAGGTTTGTTCAAACTTGTTGCAAAAACTGTTAGACCGTTGTCAATGATCAAGATGCATTGCAGTTATACCATGAACGAATGGGACATCAGAATAAGAAACGTGTTAAAATGCATCGATCAAGAGATGTTATTTTTGATGAGAAGGTTGTCAAACTAAATTCAGTGATTTTGCAAGAAGAATGTTGTTCAGATGATACAGTTTCGATTGATGTTGAAATTAAAAATGAAAATAAAAAAACTTTGATTAAAGAAAATATTTCAACTGATGAAGATGTTCACAACCGTAGTTCAGTTTTATCTGATGAAGAAGATCAAATCTGACTGTTGTAATCAAAAGACCAAAGGTATGGTTTTACGTGACAGAAATAATATCAAAAAGCCATCTCGTTATGATCCTTTCGTTATGTCTGCATTATGTGAAGTACTTGAACCAGTGAGCTACAAAGATGCCATTCAAAGTGATTAAAAAGATGAATAGTTTAAAGCCATGAACAGTGAAATGCAGTCATTAAAGGAAAATCAAACGTGGGATTTGGTAAGTCTTCCAAAAGGTCATAAGGCAATACCATGCAAAAGGGTCTACAAGATAAAACACAATCCAGATGGTTCTGTTGAACGTTTTAAAGCCAGGTTAGTGGTAAAAAGTTTTTCTCAGAAAAAGGGAATTGACTATGAAGAAACCTATAGTCCTGTGGTCAGAAGTTCAACTATAAGAACACTATTAAGTGTTGCTGCAAATGAAAAGATGTCACTCATGCAGTTTGATGTGTCAACAGCATTTCTATACAGCAAACTAGATGAAGATATTTACATGGAGCAACCTGAAGGTTTTAAAGATAATTCAGGAAGAGTCAGTAAACTCAAGTGAAGTCTCTATGGACTTAAACAAGCTCCAAGATGTTGGAACAAACGCTTTGCTGAATTCTTGAAAAAGAGACATTTCAAACAAAGCGATGCAAATACCTGTTTGTTCATTAGAATACAGGGAGGAAAGAAACTCATACTTGCACTGTATGTTGATGATGGACTAGTTGCAGGAACCGATAAAGAAGAACTAAAAATATTTGAAAAAAAATTAAATTTAGAGTTCAAGATAACATCAAAACCTGCAACATATTTCCTTGGATTAGAGATTAATCAAGATGAGAAGGGAAATATTAATGTCAGTCAGTCATCGTATACAAGAATGATTCTTGAAAAATTTGGGATGAGTCAGTGTAAATCCTGTACAACTCCGATTTCAAAATCTGAGGAGTTCGATGAAAACAAAAATGAACACGAGAAAGTGAAATTTCCTTACAGATCAGCAGTTGGTGCATTGATGTACTTGATGACGGGAACAAGACCAGACATTGCATATGCAGTTGGAGTAGCATCCAGAAGTTTAGAGAAACCCAGCAAGCAATGTAGCACAAGTCAAGCAAATTTTCAGATATTTGCAAGGCACAGCTGATGTCGGTATTGTTTACAAGTCTGGTCAAAACAATACACTTATAGCCTACAGTGATGCAGATCATGGAGGAGATAAATCTAGTGAAAGATCGACATCAGGTGTAATCTGTATGTTTGGAGGAAGCGTGATCAGTTGGTTTAGCCAACGTCAACCCTCAGTTGCGATTTCAACTACTGAAGCAGAAATCGTTGCCGCAAGTGAAGCAGCTCGTGAAGTGATATGGCTCAAACGATTGTTGAACGAAATTGTAGATCTAAAGAAAAAGCCAGAAATTTTTGTCGACAATGAAGCAGCAATTTGTTTAGCACACAATCCAGAACTTCACAGAAGAACAAAGCACATCCACATTAGACATTTCTTTGTCAGAGAAAAAGTTGCAGAAGAAGAAGTTTCAGTTGAACGAGTTGCGACAGAACTTCAAGTTGCTGATGCTCTGACAAAACCAATGGTAGGACCAAGACTAAAGAATCTGATGTGTGCGATGGGTCTTCAGAACATTTAGGTTAAGGTCATCTAATGTTTTAAATAAAATGAGAAGGTGTTAAGTTTTATGGTTTATATTAAAACATTATGAATTATAATATACATTTATTTTTCTCTGGACCAAATGTTCTTTGCTTTGTATGTAACTTCACTTTTTCCTTTTCTGTTGATCCGGTGGATAATAAACAAGTCGAGAACGTTGCTTAGTTTGTTTCTCTTCTTTTAATGTCTTTCAATATTATATCAATTAATTAAACGATCTACGTGACAAGAAATTTAACACTCTACTTTTTGCATTAGCAATTGACTCTCTAATCAAATTTTTCCGTTCAAGATTTGTTGTAGCATATTTGGACGATGTGGCTCTGGGTGTATTGAAAACTTATCTGATGACATAGAATTTATCAATAACAATTGCAATCACTACGGATTGAAACTTAATATAAAGAAATGTGAAATAACTACTTGGTCAGCTACAGAACTTAATTGTTTAATTGTTTTCATAATATTAATAAAATTAAAACATTCGACCTTAAATTTTTGGGTGCCATTATTTTTAAAGGTGATTGCCATAACAATTTTTGATCTAAAAAGTTTGAAGAGTTTAAATATATTATGTCGATGATGACAAAAATTAATAAGCATGATGCTCTCCTTCTTATCACTCAAACAGCTTTTATTCCAAGACTTTCTTATTTTCTTAGGACTTCGCCAAACCCTCCTAAAGATTTTTCTGATTTATTCAACAATGAACTCCGTATGAGACTCCAATCTATTTTTAATATTTTTTTTTCACGATAAAGGATGGACTCAGGCAGTTTTGCCCGTTGGTATGGGGGGATTGGAATTGGGCGTCGTGGCTGATTTGGCACCATCTGCTTTTTTGTCTTCAGCCGCGGCCTCGGCGACCCTTCAATCTAATCTATTGCTGGACGATGGAGAATTTGAGGACCATCTGAGAATTGAAACTTTTAACCACTGGTGTTTTATATACGGCAACGTACACAGCATGGATGTGTGCTCACAAAAATTATGGAATGAATCTTTCTGAAATAAATCGATGTCTCAACTGGAGTAGCTGAATATATCGTCCCAGGATAAGGCAAGATTGATGGCTATAAAAAGTGACCTTGGTTCAGCATGGATAAGGGCAGTTCCTAGCACAGCATATGGCACAAGGCTGGACAACGCATCCATAAAAGTAAGCCTGTGTTTGAGACTCGCTTTACCAATTGTGTCTGGGTATAAATGTTTATGTGGGTTTGACGTTGCCACGTTAGGTCATCATGGTCTGTCATGTGGGTTGGGTTCTGGCAGACAGGCAGGTCATTCAGCTATGAATGACTATTTATGTGGACTTCTTCAAAAAGCCAACATACCCGCTATTAAAGAACCTGCTGGCCTAATTTCCGACAGTAACAACAGACCAGATGGTTATACAATACACTCGTCTCATGGTCCGGTTGTCGTTGTTTATCGTGGAATGCAACATTCCCCCACACGCTTGCTGAAAGATATATTGGTTACACTTCGGTGGAGCCCGGATCCGCCGCAATAAAAGCTGCTGATTTCAAAAATAATAAATATATGCGAGACCCACAAACGTTAACAAGCGAGCAGAGGCATAATGATAGTTTTTATGACTGTTGTTTTTAACCATGGGCTCGTATATTATATATATATATATATATATATATATATATATATATTATATATATATATAATTAATTTAGCAATTATTCATTGTCATCAAATGACATAACTATTCAGTACTTTTCGTGATTTTGGTCAATTTATGCATAAAAACTATCAAAATAATATATATGATAAGTTATTTGATATATGAACTAAAACATAAAATAAGACTTTCACCTTGATCTCATCGAGTCTGTACTGGAAGAGGTTTTCAGGTTGCAGCTGGTCCATCTTCCCTGCCGACCAGGCATCGTGCAGTTCACATTTGTGTCGAAACTTCTTTGCCAGGTAATCCAATTTTTCCAACCTGTTTAATATTGCTCGCTTTACATATTATTTTTTAAAACTAAGTCTTGCAGCTTGCAGATAATAAATTTAATCTGTTGAATCATAGAATCATTAATGAACGCTTGTGTCTACCAAAGCGTTGAAGTACACTCCACATAACGTCATTTAGTATTATCATAAATCTACCTTTGCAATTCCTGTAGCAACCATTCTTCATATCCCTTCTCAGCATTTTCGAGTCCGGTCCATGCAGTATTTATGTCCTAGACAAATTTAAAAAAAATTATATTTGAATATTTCATGAAAATAGTTCAATTTGTTGGAATTGTGAAATGAGGCAAATGAGTTTCTCACGCATATTTCTTAACTCACTCCAATAAGTTTTCCCTCGGAAGGAAGGTATGGAGGTCGGTTGCTCAGTCTCAACCTCGTCTGCAGGCTGCTGAAACTTGTCTCCAATTTTGCCTTTTCTTTTAATTTCTCAGGCTTCTTATCGGCTCTGTAATCTCGAAATCTTTCGACGTTTTCTCGAGCAGCTGAGATGGACTTTGAGGGGGTTCTGTCTTCCAACCAGGGTTTTGTGGCTTTGATCCACTTCAACAGCTTTTTTTAAATTTGTTTAATTGAATTAGCTTCAAACAAAATTATATAAAAAACAAAATTTAAAAATATTATCAAAGTAACTGCTTGAATAAACAAATTGTCCTTGGAAACTAACATCACTGGCCAATCGTTCATATTCTTCCATGAGATTCTCGTTGTCGCGATTTGCTTTCAACACTTTCATGATCCTGTTTGCAGCCGTTTCAGCCTGAAACAAATTGCAAGTTTTTTTTTATGGCGAAAAATTTATATTTCTCCCAAACAACCGTATAATATGTTTTGAGAAATTTAAAAATATGATTAAATGGATGAAAAGTTATACGAAAGATAGGAATATAATAGAGTGGAACCTGCTGGGCCCCCGAGAAGGCGTGGTAGTAGGAGGAGACGTAGGCCATCACTGACCTTTCGTCTGGCTTCACACTCTCCAACATAACTAAAGTTAGTATGCGTTCCATGATTCGATTCGTCATTTTAAACATTTCAGATAATTATTATTCGATTAATCATAAGTTCCTTTTTCGGCTTATTTATTTAAACAAGAATGAAATCTAATAAAATGATGGAGTCGTCAAGTGAACAGGCTACAAAATCCCACAAACTCCTCGTTAATTCAACCACATAGCAACATGGATTCAACAATTTTCAGGATTGAATAGAAAATTAAAAAAATATGAAACAATTAAAAGTTGCTTGAAAACAGGTTAAAATTGTTAGAAACCAGAGGGAAGACTTGAGAGAATAAACAATTATAACTGATAAACGATATGAATGAATCAACGAACAACATTTTCAATCGAATGAATGAATGAATGAATGAATGAATGAATGAATGAATGAATGAATGAATGAATGAATGAATGAATGAATGAATGAATGAATGTAATAAATCAAATGAATGAATGAATGAATAAATGAATGAATAAATGAATGAATGAATGAATGAATGAATGAATGAATGAATGAATGAATGAATGAATGAATGAATGAATAAATGAATGAATGGAATGATTTAATGAAACAAATGAAATGAATGAATAATGAAATAATAAATGTTTAATCAAATGAAAGAATGAATGAAATGAATTAATAAAAAAAACTAAGAGATGTTTTAAAGACCAATAAATTGGTAAATGGTTAAATAAGTGAAAAAATGAATGTATAGAAAAATAAATAAAAATTAGAAATGAATAAAAATACTAAACCCTCGGCATCCAACATTCTTGGAATATCCAAATGTTTTTCAGCGACATCAAAAGCCAGGTTTAGGTTGGCCAGTGGGTTGTCCTGTTGATGTAATGTGATGTGGTTGTTGGTAGTGGTGAGTGTTCTGTTGATGTTATGTGGTTGTTAGTGTTGGTTTTTTGATGTTAACGAGGATTATGAATTCGACTGACGCTGAGCGGCTTACTTAACTTTTTTATTTAATTTTACGCAAAGGATTTACGATCTATAACACACGATGTACACACACACCAAACCTACACACACAAACAAACACACTCACGCACACACACTCACCTCACACACTCACACACACATTTGAATGCACTACCCATCATGCCAATTATGTCATTATTATTAGCACTGATTACGCTGATGATGATGGCGGTAGTAACGCTGTGTTGATAACGAAGGTGTTTATTATCTTAAGTTTGATAACAAATTACAGACTTGATACTTAATAATGCTATCAATAATATTTGACAATATTAATTGAATAATAGATTGAGTTATAAATAAAAAAAGAAGCCACAGAATTATCGAGCGAGCCAAAACTAACAACGGCCCAATCGCATGATTTAAAACTTTGACTCGTTGAAACCACCAGTAAGCAGCGCATAAAACGTTATAACGAAGTGATGGACAGAGCAAGAACACAATGAATTAATGTGAAGCAAACAGAAACATAGCATTCGTTGAGAAATCAAAATAAACAAGGAAACGAACCTTGGACAGCTTGTTGTAATCAATGAGGTCAGGTCTGTGACGGTGAATGAGAGCGCAGAAGGCCAGTCCGTCTTTGAAACTGTTGTGCGTGTGCGTGTGTGTGTTGTGTGTATGTATAAATATAAAATGTATTATGTATGCCGGAGAGTCAAAAAAGAGCTATCATACTTCCTAAGCTAAAAAAAGCTGGTTCCGAGTGATGTTAGGAGCTATCGGCCGATTTCAAGCCTCACGTTTGTTTCCAAGCTCATTGAAAAAGTGGTGGCCAAACAATTGATCGCATACCTGAAATTAAATCGACTTTTCCCTGAACTTCAATCAGATTTTTGCTCTGGACGCTCAACTGAGACAGCGATTCTAAAGGTCTTCAATGATGTTTATGAGGCTATTGATTCTGGTAGTATCTCTCTCTTGGCTCTGCTCGATGTCGAAGCTGCTTTCGATACGGTCAACCACAACCTCCTTCTTGATCGACTTGCAAAGTCATATGGCTTGGGTGGAAAGGTCCATGCCTGGTTTGAATCCTATTAGTCTGACAGATCGCAAACGGTATGTGTTGATGGCTCTGATCCTGCTTCCTCCCCACTGTTGAAAGGAGTTCCACAGGGATCAATTATGGGACCCCTGCTCTATGTTCTCTATACGGCAGATATTGTGGAAGTTGTTGAGTCATCGGGTTTGAAATGTCACCTATACGCAGATGATATACAGCTGTATAGTTACTGTAATATCAAAGAAAGACAGGAACTAGCGGACAGAACTAAAACAGGTGTCAGAACTGTCTCAGAATGGATGCTGGCAAATGGATTGAAGCTGAATATTGACAAGACACAATACATCTGGTTGGGTACTCGTCAAAAATTAACTGGTATTCAGGAATATGTAGAGCCAGTCAAAAATCTTGGTGTTTGGATAGATCCTGAATTGAAGATGAATAAACATGTGAAAAATGTCTGCCGATCATGTTTTTACCAATTGCGCCAAATCAGACGTATAAAAAAGTACCTGACAAATGAATGCTTAATTTCAGTGATGCACAGTTTCATTTGTGGAAGAATAGATTACTGCAGTTCAATCCTCTATGGTACAAGCTTGTATCTTCAAAACTGCATACAGTCTATTCTGAACACTGCAGCAAGAATAATTGCTGGTGTAACAAAATATGAATCTGTTTCATCATATATGCGAAATGAGCTTCACTGGTTGCCAGTTTGTTATAGAATCAAATTCAGAACAGCAATGTTTACAAGAGACAGTTTGATGGGGCTTGGTCCTCGATACCTTCAACAGCTGATCGTGCCTGTCCCTACGGCTGCTGGGGGGCGAAAACTCAGATCCTATGCCAAAAAGAAACTCGTTGTTCCTAGGTTCGGGACAGAAAATTATGGACGGCGTCGTTTCTCCGTGGCTGCAGCGGAGGTTTGGAATAAACTGCCCGATGATGTCGTTGATAGTATGGATGAAAGAGACATGTTCCGAAAACGACTTAAACATCACTTTTTTGACCGGCAGCTTCTCGAACAGCGCCTCTGAGTTTTGCATAGAGGGGCGCTATATAAATTCTCCATACCATACCATACCATATAAATGTATGTATAAGTCAAATAAGTGTATATATATATATATATATGTGTGTGTGTGTGTGTCTATGTCTCCAAATGTATATGCATGTGTGCGTGTATGTGTGTTAGTATATGTTTGTGTGTTTATGTTAGTGTATGCATGTATGTGGTGTGTGCGTGCAGTGATGCAACATCGTTCATGAAAACTTCGGATTTACAAAATATCAGTTTTAAAGACGAAACATGAACGTTTCATGGACGTTGCAATTATCTCATCCACCATACGACTTGCATTAGTACAAAGATAGCTTCAAATTTATCAAATTAAAAAAAAAATCATAAAAATACATTTTTTAATTTAGCATATTCATTTATTTGACTTTTACAATTTTAAACTGGCAAGAGTATGCAGCCACGATAACTATGACATGCCTGAACAAATTTATAAAACGTGGCATATCAGGCATGCGTGTAGGATTTGTTTGTTACAATGTAACAATTCAAAAATAAAGTTTAGAAAACAGAGCTTGAACAATTTAGACTGCAGAAGTTTGTGTGAACTTCAAACATATTTCTGCCCTAAACTCCTCCTATTTAAGTGATGTTCACTATCATCTCCGAGAACAATCATTCGCTTGCAGCAGACATAGCAACGATGGGGAAGTTATCATCGCAATCTTTGTGAAAACAAAGATTTCTCATCTCCTCAAATCTCAAGATCTCCTTTTTCTATTGGTGCAGCAGAAACAGACAACATCTTAACTTTCTCCCGACAATTTTTATGGCAGTTGTAGCATTCAGAATGGCCGGTGATTTACTGACTGATATTTTGTGATTGTGCTATTTATATAAAGCTTCAGTTGACTACCATGCCAGAGCAAGAACAAAACCAAACAGTCAAAAAGTTTTTCAAGCGTTAAAAATTAATTTATAAAAAATTAAGCCTTACACATGTACTAAAATGTACATCAGTCTTCAGAGTAAATGAAATCAACAGCATTTTGTAAACATGACAAACAAACCTCATGTGAAAGTTCTGCACGTTGACATTCTTGTAAGGACTCGTCTTGCGTTTGCACCAGAGAAGCAGGCCTTCCTTGGCGGTCATCTCTGGTTCGATGTTCAATCATTTCAGCAATGACAATTATTTAAATAATTGAAATTATGATCGATACCAATTAAAAAATGAGATAAAAAACTAAATGCTGTTGAAAAATAGAGACCCACCTTCAACTGAAATGTCCTGAATTGCAAATCGTAAAATGATCGTCCATATCATTCCAAGAGTCATCTTCAAATTCCCATCCACAATTTCTTAACAAGTTGTTAATTAAACGTTTTAATTGAAAAATTGGCGTTAGTAAAAATTTCTTTTGAAGTATTCTTAATGAATTCTATTAGGAATCTAATGCAAAAGATGAATCATTTATAATATTTTGTAACAAGCGCTGAAAATAAACAACTAATGCTTTGTAATGCAGTAAATATTCGACAGTCGTTCACCTCTTAATTTCAGAGGTATAAATTCAAACTCAAATGTTACCAAAAAAGAACTAAATCTTGCAAACCCCGTGGTAGATCCTATTTTTAAATTATTGGAATTGTTCATATTTGTGTCAAAATTTTGAAGACTATTCTTTTCTATGGAATGAAATTTACATTCCGCACTTTCATGGAATGTTATTTAGTTTAAATTTTGTAACAAATAATATTTACTTGCATAAGTTTAAGGCAAAAAATTATTTGTACAACTTTCCCCAAAAAAATTGAAAAGGCAATAATTAAAAATATGTTCAATGAGTTAAAATTTAGGTAAAAAGAAATAAAGAAAAAAGTTTTTTCCCAAAGACATATTGAACAAACGATCTATTCAGAAAGACTTTTAAATTAAATAACTGTTGTATCATTTGTTAAATAGTGTTTTTTATTTGTTGTGCAACGTTGTTTGACGAAGAAATGAAGTTGCAACCTTCTGCGCCGATGGAGACCAGCTTCACTCCCTTGCTCATGATGAAATGCAGGGCCTTGTTCACGTTGGCGATTTTGTGGAAGCGCATCTTTCCCTTATCCGGCTTGCCGAGTTGTTCACCCGAAATGACTTCCAGCAGCAGCATCAACTTCAATCCGTCCTTGAAGTCTTCCTCGATGTTCTCGATGGAGGTCTTCGCTTTGCGAAGGTGGGAGTTGCACCATGCTGTGAACGTCTGTCAACATGTGAACATGAAGCTCGTGTATGAGGTGCGGTTGAGTTTGTGTCGGTGGGTATTAGTGTGACACGCACACGTACACGCACACACACAAGCACACACACTATTTACTTTGTCAAGATTTCAACAGTTTTCCATTGATTACGCTTTTGTCAAAACAACATTAAAGTATTAGCGTCATTAAATCCTTCTTACAAATTTCGATTATAGTTGTGTTGTGGTGTGAGACGTGAGCCATCAGTGTTATTTTTTTTTTATAATGCAGTTCAGTCAAACGCAGAACTGCTGCTTATTATTCTATATCTACACTCATAGATTAAACCATCGTGCGACAAATGCTGTACTATCCACCCCACACGACGCACGTACACATTGTGCACGCACGCGCAAGCTCCGAATCATAAGCGTATGATGGTTTTTGAGTTTCGGACAGACAGTATTCGAACCATGCCATCGCGTAATAACACGCGAGACATGGCACTTCTACCGACCGAGATAACTGTCATCAGTATCGTATGTTATCTATGGTTACAAACATACATAAAATAACATAAAAAACATCTAAATCAAAACATAAAAACAGCCATCGCGAAAATTTGTTATTTTAAATAATGAAACTTTTAAAAAATGAAAATTGAAAAATTGAAAGAAAGCGAACCTTCTTCTGCTGTTTCTCCCAGAGCGGATCGAGGACTGCCTCCCTCTCCCACTCATCCTCCTGTTCTCTCGAATGTTCCGGCTGCTGCTGCTGGCTCGACATTTCAAACTTGCAACTATCTTTCAACACAATAGAGACAGACAGTACAGAAGTACTTCAACTCAACTCAACTTATGTATGTATGTTGCTGGTACGTGGTGTCGGTCAACCTGGATGTTGTGCTATGTTAAGTTCAGTTTAGCTGATGAACGAAGAAACAATTTAAAAGTGGTGCAACAAATTGATAACAAGGAACTAAGCTGTCTGCCTGACTGAATGCTTCAATTATCGCGTACAACTAGTCCCACGACTAACGACAACAATTTATAATTACAGCCGACTTACTAAGTCAGTGTATAAAATGTTGCACGCCAAAGAAACGAATTATATTCTAAATTATTATAAACATACAAACGTACATGTTCGATGCTAAATCATATATCGTGCAGGCACTACATAAGTACAGTGCCCACACGCTAGCACGCACGCTAGCTCGCACATATTTATCTTATGACGATAGAAAGAAATGAATATGCAAAACTCTTTTAATTGAACGATTGAACGCAGAACACAGGCTTCCACTTTCTTTAATGGAATGAATCGGCTAGACAGTAAGTGTAGCTGCACTTCAACAATATAACTACATTAAACACACAATAATAATAAATATAATTTAAATCTACATATATGATATATTATCATTTTTGAATTAATAATAATAATAAACTAATAATAATTGTAATAAAATATCGCGCGAAATTTATTCACCGAAGTGAACATAACAAAAATTATTAATTGTGCGCTCCAAAAAGTAATCTTTCTTCAATGACGGATTAAATTTTGAAATGATTACACTACTTAGACAAGTTTTATGATTACGTTCGATTACCTTCAATAATAATAATTTACGCGAAGTTGTTGTTATTGTTGAGAGTACATTTATGATTTAGCATTTGAACTTGAGGACGTTTGATTTATGATATTTTTTCTTCAGGTTTTGTGAGAACGCCTGTGAGAATATCCAATACACAGGGGCGGATCTAGGTAATTGGTTTTGGGGGGGCAAGCGATGGGCAAGGGGTAGGGCATGGGGGGGCCAGACATGCTGGAGTGTTTTGTGTTTAAAAGTACACAACAAACAAATTAAAACATATTCAAAAAGATTTAATATATATATATATATATATATATATATATATATATGTATATATATATATATATATATATATTCTTATGTAACGCAATTATTAAAAATTAAAGTTTATTTAGGTATTATTTCTTTCTTAAGCACTACTAAGGTGCAGCGAATAACTTAATTAATGTTATGT